CCTTCGGCATAGTATTCCTGGATGAAGATTCCCCTTCGGCTGGTTTCTTTATCCTAAAGTCCACCTTCGACTAGCATCCTTTAAAATCCCACTTCGGATGGTATCTTTCAAAATCCCGCTCCGGCAAGTATCTTTCAAAATCCCACTTCGGCTGGTATCAGTTGTTAAAAAATCCCGCTTCGGCTGGTATCTTTCAAAATCCCACTCCGGCAGGTATCTTTCAAAATCCCACTTCGGCTGGTATCAGTTGTTAAAAAATCCCGCTTTGGCTGGTATCTTTCAAAATCCCGCTTCGGCTGGTATCTTTCAAAATCCCGCTTCGGCTGGTATCTTTCAAAATCCCGCTCCGGCAGGTATCTTTCAAAACCGCTTTGGCTGGTATCTTTTGTTAAAATCCCGCTTCGACTGGTATCATTTGTTAAAATCCCGCTTTGGCTGGTGTCATTTCTTTTAAATCCACCTTCGATTGGTACATTTATCAGGAGTCTCATTTGTTTGGTCTCCTTCTTCAGTAAGTTCGCCTTCGATTGGTGTTTCTTTGCAAGAGCTTTCTTCGGTCTGTCTCTTTCTTACGTATCTAATACCGACCATGGATATGTATCTTTGATATCTCTTTTGTGCGTATCCGATACTGACCACGGATATGTATCTTTGATATCTCTTTTGTGCGTATCCGATACCGACCACGGATATGTATCTTTAATATCTCTTTTGTGCGTATCCGATACCGATCACGGATATGTATCTTTGATATCTCTTTTGTGCGTATCCGATACCGACCACGGATATGTATCTTTGATATCTCTTTTGTGCGTATCCGATACCGACCACGGATATGTATCTTTGATATCTCTTTTGTGCGTATCCGATACCGACCACAGATATATATCTTTTCTATATCTTTTGTGCGTATCCGATACCGGCCACGGGTATGTATCTTTGATATCTCTTTTGTGTGTATCTGATACCGACCACGGATATGTATCTTTTCTATATCTTTTGTGCGTATCCGATACCGACCACAGATATGTATCTTTTCTATCTCTTTCTTATGTGTCCGATACCGACCACGGATATGTATTTTTGATGTCTCTTTCTTGTATATCCGCTACCAACCCTGAATATGTGTCTCTGATACTTTTTTTCGTATGTCTGCTACAGACTTCAGGCATATGCCTTTTGATATCTTTCTTACAGGTGCTTGTTACTAAATCCCAATAGATGTTCCTTGATAATCAAGTTATTCTGCTGTGTGTCAAACCCTGGTTAAACATACCTCTACCCTGATAACCTCTTTTACCTAGCAAAAAAAAAAAACAGAAAGACCAAAAATAATGATACCTGACTGGCTTCGAAGCCCAAATTTTCGGATTCTTTTAGTATTTAATCTTCTTCTACCTTGAAAGTTCGAAAGGCTGGCGCCAATCTCACCTTCAGGTTGAAGGCGATTAAATAGGGGCAGCTGTTGCACCCCAAAATTTGCCCTCCTAATTGCACTTTTAGGGCTTAGACTTTTTGCATTCATCCGCATCATTCCAAGGGGTCATTTGCATAGCACACATTTTTCATAAAATAGATCGCCTGAGGTTCAAAAGATCAGCAGTTAGGAAGTTAGGGTTTACAGTTGATTAAAGGTGTATGTGTTGAATAAGTTTGATTATCCAGGGTCTTCTCGGTGTACAAATTTTTGGGAATTAAGATTTTGGTCCAGGCTCATTTTTGGACTTCTTCTCCACCAAGTTACATGGATAATATCTTCTGATAGACAACCGATTGTAGGTCATTCTGGTAAAGAATTCCAGGACGTGACCTAGCATATGGGGGCTTCGAATCATGGTGTCCTTTCCTATAAGTATGCTTGTCACTCGATTAGGATTAATGACTGTGACATGACAATCATCTACTCCTCAGTTAATCAATTTAGGTTTTGTTGAATCATGGTTCAAAGATGTTTTATCCGGATATTTCTCTGTGTGTCTAAACGAGGAATCAAGATTGTGAGGGTTTCACATCAAGGGAATTCTTCTGTGATTCAGACTTTATCATCCATCTGTAAGGTGTTCCTTATGGCACTAATTTTAAGATGAAATAACCGATCGCTAAGGGCTGGGGATAGAATTATGAAGCGCGGTTCATGACCTTAGATATGAATTCATGGACTTCTCCTTAACCAAGGCAATTATTGTCCTCATCATTGTCATTCGTTATCTGCGATGCGAGCAGACTTGGATTGAAGTAGGCTTCTCGTGGAAGAATTCATGCAAAGTAATTCAAGGTTCAAGGCATTCAAGGCAGGGTTTTGTTCAAAATGGCATACATGGTTGATGGGCTTACAAGATCTTATGAGACCTTGAGATGCATAATCTTGGGCCAATTTCAAAGATATGTGGATAAGATCTGTTGACTTCGGTTAAAGTAAGCTTTGAAAAATAACTTTTGGACCAAGGTCACCCTTGAACTTTCATCTAATATATGTTATGCAATCGAGTTGCATTTGAAGAATGGCACGGTAAAGGAAAAGAAATATTAGTTCAAAAAAAGGGAAATTTAATTAGAAATCAGGGTTTTTATTCATTGATAAATGTTCAAGTAATTGAAGATCAGGGGAAATGAGGTTTCATATTAATCTTGATCATATTCTTTCATTACCATTTACGTTCATTTTTGATGATTTAAGGTCGTCAATTAGGGAAGGACTTTGTCAAGATAAGAGACTTATGGATTGAATCGTGGAATATGAGGCATGATACAAAAGGCAAGGTTGTGAGTTTTCTTTTAAAGATCAAGATTTTATTGTCTATTCAAATTACTTACCATACAAGTTGATTTAGATTCAAGATTGAAGTTAGGAGTTCATTGAGAATGCAAGTGTGATTTGGATTTGAAGTTTGATTTGAATTCAAGGTGTTCGAAAGTGTTTGATTGGATTAAAATTGGCAAAGAGCCGTAAGTATTGGTCATATTTGTTTCTTGGAAGGTAAAGTACAGACTGCAAGGTCTTATTTCAAGTCAGAGTTCATCCACATTACAAAGATGTTCATCGTTATTCCAGATTCAAGTTCACAATGCGTTCAAACATTTATTCAAACCCTTTCATTCATGGTTCAAGAAAATACTATCCAACAACCATAGTTTCATCCAAATAGTCATTCAAGAATTCATTCAAGATTAAAGTCTCTTATGATTACCTTGCAAATATTTTGAATTCGTACCATGATTATTTAAATTCATATAAAGGTATTTAAAGGAAATATTTGAGAAAAAGAACTTGGAATTTCAAAATCAGTTTCGAGGAGAAAGGTACATTGAAGAAATTATCATTGAATTCTCAAAATTACATTGCAAGTTTAACTAATTCCATGCTACATTACAATACAAGATGGCATTCAAAACATTTTCATTACAATTTTACCATCATGTTACAAAAGAAATTATAAAAATCCTACACAACACCAAAGCCTAATCTTCATATGTCTTCCACGAAATCCCACAGTTTGACCTTACCTTTTCACCATAATCTTCATACTACTTCAACACAAATTCACTAATTCTAATTTCCAAGCCTTAAAATTTAAAGGTTTGTTTGAAAGTTCAAAGGCTATTTATTTTATATATTAAAGAATATGCTTCCACTTGATTATCAACCTTGGGGTATGCTTGTAAAATTTGTTCCAACTTTTTCCGCGACATGCAAGCAAGAGACACGTAGCTCATGACCTCAAAAGTAATTCGGTGAAGACCGTGAGTCAGAACAGTTTCCTTTGCTGCAAGAACTCCAAAAATAACATTATGCAATTCCATGAAAAGATCCCTGCTAGCTTCTCCTAATCTATTCCTAACTGCGATTGCTTCGTTCAGTAAAGTCGAATCCAAGAAAAGAGATTGGAATCTTGGAATATGATTACCCAAATGCCCGAATATTTGAAGCATTTTGAACAAACGCCATTTCGTAGGGCTCCCAGAAGCAATTGTATCTGCAAAACACAACAGCTGAGACGTTGCTTCTTTGCAAACCTTAAAGAAGCAACTAGAAGCTGCCGAGGAAAACCCCAAGAAGACACGATTGCAGAGTTTCTGTTCAATGGGAAACAAGATTATCATAGCTACATCCAAAGCAGTCATCCATCTATCAAACATAATATCTAAATATTTCTCTCTTTCATACTCATGGATGGAATTGATGTTTTCCTTTGGCAACCCAAATATTTCGCTTTTGAGACACACCTTCAAGAATACCTTGCGCCAACTGCTATACACATCATAGCACTCTTTCTTATAACCAGCTGCTACCATCAACTTCACTGTTTCATTAAGATTATGGATCTTTCTTGATGACAGAGAATCCATTACATAATCAGACTTACCGAGTAAATGTAATCCACTCTTATCTAGATTGTATTCCTTCACGAGCTCCATAAGCCTGTCTACGAGATTCAAATTATCCTCTTCAATTCCCTTCATACAAGTTTTAAGCTGTTCCAGTAGTAATGAATCCATTTCAAGGACAAGTGAATTTTCACCTTGCGGGTCAAAATACTCGTTTTCTATTCCATCATCTGTTGAAGAGAGGGAAGAACGAAGAATAATAAGGGAGTAGCTGAAACCTGCTCCAAGAATGAGTAACTGCAAGCTAATCTTCATGAGCTGCACAATTAGACATCCGAGGAAGAAGTAGAGAAGATCAATTTCAACTCCGCAATGAGTTCGCCGTGACAAACTGAGTGACATGATAGCAAAGGAAGCACATGAAACGAGACTATATGCATCTGGTTTCCCATTCACCACTTTGTCAAAGAAGAATGAATAGACAGAAGTGATTGTTAGCACCAGGAAAGCTGTATGAGCTTTGAATCGGAGACTTGAAGATGACTTCCATATATTTGCATACAAAATCATGAGGCTGATGATGAAGCTGAAAAGAATGCAGAATAAGTAGCCGTGAGAATAATTCAAATTCGAACGATGATACAAATGCTAGAGCTAGCATATCAAGAATAGTGATGTTAGCTGAAGCCTTATTCGAGGTTCTGGATGAAATTCACCAGCAATCAGTGGTTTTATCTTCCCACCTTTCTGTATCTTCTATCGGATCTGTTCCCTCGCCTGCTGAAGTTGCCGAATCCTTACCTGTTAAAATATACACAAAGTCACACAAACATCAAGAAGAACTCAGCAGGCAATTTAGAACTAGTGGTAGTTACCCTGAAAACGTTGACTCCCATATTCGTCTCAATAACGGTACTTTGTTGAATTCGTTGTGGAAATTAAATGTAGTGGACATAGAAGTAACCCTTGCATACGTGTGTCAAATGGTGCTAAAGGAAAATGATGTCCAGGAGGGAACTCCTAGCCCGTCCACGGTTCAGCCCTGCATAGATAGATTAAAAAGCAAAAATCAATAATAGTTAACAGTTCAGTTCTAAGAGTTTGTAACAAAACAGAATTCCTCTTAAACTAACTTCTACTAACTAGCTGTCAAACAGAGTAACAAACTCTCTAACAACCTCCAAACTGTTTTTTTTCTAAGCTAAACTTCTAACTACCTTCTAACAGATTTACTAACCGCCTAATAAATCTCTAGCCAACTTCTCAGACTCAACCGACTATATAATCCAGTTTTCAGGGGGATCAATGAGGATCCATCTTTACACACAAAAGACAGAAAAACAAAAAGATCTTGGCACTCCTCTTCATTCGCTCTACCCGGCAGCATCTTAGTTCAACCTTCATTTGTTCATCATCAACCTTCTAAAAGAAATGGATATCCTCATATCTGCAGATTCACAATAACACAAAATCATTATCCATTCACAATTATTCAACCCAGAAAGATTAGAAAAACTCACCTCAAGAATCTTCAATCAAAGCTTTCTCTCTCTGTGCCATTTTCTTGATACCACTTCATCGTCACCGTCTACATTTCAACCTTCAACTTGCGGCACCTCGACACACCTCAAGAATCTCCAATCAATGCCAACTCTCTTTTTCCTCTCACGGAAACCATCTGAAAGCTCTTTCTCTCACTGTTTCATCAGAATCCGATTCTCGTATATGTTCATCTCTTTCATATCCATGAATTGAAGTTGCTGCTTGCGTTTATTTCGCTGACATCGCGATAATTCCGCCGCTCTCATCTTCGTCTCGGATTCACAACAAGATATCAAAGGTTACAGAGAGGTTCAAGGTTCCGTGAAGCTATCATTCACCAGCGGAGCAGCGGTAGAGCTTTCTGGAGGTTTATACGCAAGATCCGATTTCGTTCTAATGCACAAACCGTGGCGTTTCAAATTTGGAGAAGACGAGGTGAGATGATCTTTCGCGGCTGCATGTTGAGGACCGATCGGATAAGGTAAGGATGATGAAGCCGTCGCGCCGCCGGTGAGAGAGCAAGGAAGAAGAACGGTTGAAGATGTACATCACTAGCGTGTTGAATCCTAAACTACACCGTTTTACATTTGTATCAGCTTTATTTTTTTATAATTATTATTTCTTTTTATATATTAATAAATCAGAAAATAATATTGAAATGGAAGACTTGGTCACATAGAATTTGGACTGGGCCCATGCGTTGGATATCTCAATTCATACCCCTGGATCCTGATTACACTCCCTAACTTTTCTCTCCACTTTACTTTGTTTCTTTGAATTTTTTGCAATTAATTTTTGATGTTTCTTTCATAATTTTTGACTAATTTTTTGTGTATACATTAAAAATATGGATTCCCGACTTATTGATATTTTTTTCATGATGTATCTATTGGTTTATGATTTAATTGAATTGATCTTTGAATATGTTTGGAACTAGGATTTTAACATGTTCTCGTTAGTTCTTTCGAATTGATACAGTTTCTTTGGCATGATAAAGGGTTTAATGCAGGGTTTTGATCCTTAATTGCTTGATTAATTGTTTGCTTGTGGTTAGGTTCATAAAAAATCTCATAAACTCGATAAAAATATATTGTTTTGTTTCATTGAATGTTCATTTGATTTGTAAGCCTTGTGATGGATTCTTAATCCAATTTTCATCCAATAACAGTGTTTTATTTGTGATAGCATCGACATAACTCTTGCAATGTGGAATGCTCAGGGTGAATTCTTCAATCACTCGCTCAAGGAAACTTTGATAGAATTCTCTTACCGCTTGCACAATTTTGAAGAGGCAACGGACCTTCTCCGTTCGGTATCGTCACAATCCCATTTTATTCTTCATTTTCGTACTTTGCCATAATCCATATGCATGCTAACATTAGGTAGAATTCCCTCAAAATTCTAACTTTAGATCTAACAACGCATGATAAAAATTAAGTTTAGAAATAGGCTAGTTTTCATTTGACTTTTCTTTCCCTTTTCGCATACGCATCTAAAACAAAAACTTCTTTCTCTTTAAATTTACTGACTAGAATCATATCTTCGTTAAGTATGTGAGACGATAAGCGGGTCTTTTCTCGACCTTATTGTTCTCTTATTCTAAGCTTCGGCATGACTCAAGTCTCAAAGAATCATTTCACGAATAAGTAGAGACGTGGCTAAAATCTCTCCCTTGAGATTAACTAGTTATTCTCTACAAGCGAAAAACACCAACAAACATAAAAATCTTTTTTGCCTTCGGGCCTTTCTTTCAAACCCTTTTCAAAAGAGCGTATTAATTCACTTTTGTGCTGACGCGTAAATCTCCAAAGGTCGAGTTGCGGCAGAAGGAGAAATTACTATCGTTCATTCAAAAACAAACAAATTCAAACTTTTTGTGCGCCCAAGCACATTTTCTCCAAACTTTTCAGAGAGAGCATATTAATTCACTTTTGTGCTGACGCGTAAGTCTCCAAAGGTCGAGTTGCGGCAGAAGGCGAAATTAATATTGTTCATTAAAAAAATACAAACCAACAAAAACATATAAGCCGAACTACGACTGCTCTGATTCCTCAAAAGGGATACGTAGGCATCGGGGTAGGGCCCGAACGAGCACAACTTTTATTTTCCCTACATATTTTCCCCTTTCTTTTGCATGCATTCCTTTCAATAGTATAATAGACAGTAAGCATAGATTAAACACACCCATAAGATAGACAACAAGAGTGGATACCGTAGAGTACTACGGGCGTGTGGGGTGCTAATACCTTCCCCTCGCGTAACAGACTCCCTTACCCTCATCTCTTGGTCGTTCGACCTTGATTTCACCCTCCTCAGGTTTTCTCGATGTTTACCTTTCCCTTCCCGTGGGATAAAAGACGTTCGATGGCGACTTCATTGTTTGATGATTTTCAGCTGGTTGTTTCACTTTTCAAAAGATAAATACACCTTTGTATACATTCAAACATGGATCATTACAAAGGTTGCCACAACAAATGGCCTCTTTTCAAAACCTCTTTCAAAAATCACACACAAAGCACCATTTCAAACAATTGAAAGCACCATTTCAAACAATTGGAAATGCAAGGCAAGTGATCTAAGCAAGTAACTAAGAGCCCATGGATAACCATGGATAGAAAGGGTGCTAATACCTTCCCTTTCTATAATCTACTCCCCGAACCCATGAAAACATCTCAAAGGTTTTTCCTTTTCTTTTTAACCTTTCCTTAGGATAAAATAAAAAGTCGGTGGCGACTCTTGCTAAACCGAAACATTTGCGAAAAAAAACGTAAAACCTCAAGTCAGTTCTCCCACCGTATCATAACCACCTTTGTTACTCAGTGGGGCACCTTTTGCTACAAGGTCATGCCTTTTGGACTAAAGAATGCTGGGGCAACATATCAGCGTGCCATGGTTGCTTTGTTTCATGACATGATCCATCATGAGATTGAAGTATACGTCGACGATATGATTGCAAGGTCCCAGACCAAAGAAGAACACCTTGACCATCTCTAGAAGCTGTTTGACAGATTGAAGTTGTACAAGCTGCGATTGAACCCGAACAAGTGCACCTTCGGGGTGAGGCCTGGTAAGCTAATGGGTTTCGTCGTGAGCGACAAAGTTATTCAAGTGGACCCTGCCAAAGTGAAAGCAATACAAGAGATGCCAGCTCCCAAGACAGAGAAGGAGGTCAGAGGCTTTCTAGGACGACTGAACTACATTGCCCGATTCATCTCTCACCTAACTGCTACTTGTGAGCCGATCTTCAAGTTACTAAAGAAAGATCAAGTGGTACGTTGGAACGATGAATGCCAGGCTGCTTTCAGAAGAATCAAGGAGTATCTCCAAGAGCCACCCATTCTGATGCCACCAGTTGAAGGGAGACCTCTGATCTTATACTTGACAGTACTTGACAACTCAATGGGGTGTGTGCTGGGGCAGCATGACGAGTCTGGCCGAAAAGAGCATGCTATTTATTACCTTAGCAAAAAGTTTACCGACTGTGAGACCTGATACTCACTGCTTGAGAAAACTTGTTGCGCTTTGGCATGGGCTGCTCGCCGGCTGAGACAGTATATGCTGACTCACACTACTCTGTTGATATCAAAGATGGATCCAATCAAGTATATCTTCGAAAAGCCTGCCTTGTCCAGAAGAATAGCAAGATGGCAGATGATGCTGACTGAGTATGACATCCAGTACACGACTCAAAAGGCAATCAAGGGAAGTGTATTAGCGGACCATTTGGCACATCAGGCAGTGGATGATTACCAGCCTATGAAATTTGAATTCCCGGACGAGAACATCATGTTGATAACTGAATGTGAGACACTTGGACCGGATGAAGGACCTGAGGAAGGATCCTAATGGTCTATGTACTTTGATGGAGCTTCAAACGCTTTGGGTAATGGCATTGGCGCCGTAATCATATCTCCTAAAGGCTCTCATACTCCGTTCACCGCCCGACTATGTTTCAACTGCACCAACAACATGGCGGAGTATGAAGCATGCATCATGGGTCTTCGAGCTGCAATTGACCTAAGGATTAAGTTCCTGAGTGTCTTCGGAGATTCCACTCTCGTGATCAGTCAGATCAAAGGCGAGTGGGATACGAAACACCCAAATATTATTCCTTACAAGGAGTATGTGTTGACATTGCTTCCCCATTTTGAGGAGATAACCTTTGAACACTTCCCTAGAGAGGAGAATCAGTTGGCGGACGCGCTGGCTATGATGTCTTCTATGTTTAAAGTCAATTGGGACAACGAAGCTCCCCGGATAATTATTGAAAGATTGGACAAACCTGCACATTGCTGTGATCTTGAGACTGAAGAAGTAACAGGAAAGCCCTGGTATCATGAAGTAAAGAGGTACCTTGAAGCTCAGGAGTACCCCGAGGGTGCATCTGTTAATGACAAGAAGTTTCTGAGGAGGTTCGCGGAAAAGTTCTTCATCAGCAATGGTATTCTCTACAAGCGTAACCATGATTCAACCTTACTGCATTGTGTGGATAAGATTGAAGCAGAAAGAATCATGACAGAGCTGCATGAAGGTACTTTAGGAACTCATTCCAGTGGACATACCATGGCAAAGAAAATCCTTCGGGCAGGATATTACTGGTCCACAATGGAAGCTGACTGTTATCAGCATTCTTGGACATGTCACAAGTGCCAGGTCTATGCTGATAAGGTGCAAATACCTCCAGTTCCTCTGAATGTTTTGACAGCGCCTTAGCCTTTTGCAATGTGGGGCATTGATATGATTGGCGAGATCAGACCTACGGCATCCAACGGGCATCGTTTCATCCTGGTAGCGATTGATTACTTTACAAAGTGGGTTGAAGCGGCTTCCTTTTCTATGGTAACCAAGAACGTCGTGGCACGGTTCATTCGGCATAACCTGATCTGTCGATACGGTGTACCAGAGAGGATCATTACGGACAATGGTACCAATCTTAATAACAAAATGATCACTGAGCTCTGCGAGCAATTCAAGATACAGCATCATAACTCTTCTCCCTACCGGCCGAAGATGAATGGGGTTATCGAAGCGGCAAATAAGAACATTAAGAAGATTGTGCAGAAGATGACATTGACATACAAAGACTGGCACGAGATGTTACCATTTGCTCTTCACGGGTACCATACCTCAGCACGGACGTCAACAGGGGCAACACCTTATTCCTTGGTTTATGGCATGGAGGCAGTCTTGCCCATCGAAGTTCAGATA